ATGCTCTAGATTCCCTGTGTGATTAATCGTGGTTGACATACTACCGTTTGGAAGTAGGATAGGCAGTCGTTATCTTGGGACAACAATAAGAAATCCTTCCGAAATACGTCTACACAATCACAAATAAAATACTTGCCCGCACTATCAGTTCGCCGTCCGAATTAAGAGACACGCACCGAGGCGAACATTCCCTTAAAGGTTGACCCTAGTGGCAATCCAAGTGCGCCACTGCGAGTGTGCAATATAGGATTCGTGCACGCTGAGTCTAACTACTTCAGACGAATTTGATGTTCGTTAAAATCGGATAGGTGATTCAATCATGTAGATAGCGATTATATTAAATCATTTGAGTTGAGCTTACCAACCTCGAGGAACAAATGTCCGTGGAAAAACCAAAACGAGTCCGGATAAGACTCCGACACACAAAAAATCCTGCAGACGTCTGTCTTGCGTAACAGTTGTCGTGACACCAATCTAGTTGTACAAACCATCCCTCACACACACATACACACAAACACACACCAAAAGTACAGTCCTTCTTTACGACTGAGGTGATATACGCAATCAAACGCAATCGAACGGGCGACGGGTGAGCAGATGACGGTAGGAGATTATCGTGTGTCAACTAGGCGATCTCATACAAACAAAATCGAAGAAATTCGGACAAAATCCGGCATCAAACGATGCATCATAAATTAGGCTCACAGGGAAAATAGAACAACCCGGGGTATAAAAAATATATATGGCTCCGTGATGAATAACAGTACAAAGATCATGTACAAGCAGAAAAGAGTAAATAATGAGAAAACGCGAAGAATCTATATACAAATGGGTACCGCTGAGTCAATCTGAACTGAATGAAGAAAAAATATGACAACCTTCGGAAAATCATGTCTTTGCTGTGTTCTCGGCAGTTGTATCAAAATCATAAAGCTCTTCAACGAGTTCCGGTCGAAGTATGGAATCTTGTTCGGCACAGTCGCAACGCCTATCAGGGTTGCCTTGATTCACCGCTTTCGATTGTTGAACCCAATTAGATAGTCCGGAAATGAGAAAAAAATAAGATGGAAGTGAATCGGTGTATGTTTGAAAGCAGTTCTCGCCATGGCGCCATAACAAACCGGTCAACGCACGAGTCAGCTGACCGAACGCAGCTAAATAGTGCGTTCGGGTTGACCAAAGTTGACGGGACTCTTCGGGCTGTACAGAGTTTGTGTTCACTGTGATGGTGGTCGGCAACGTGCGCAAATGACACAGTGGTCGGACGGCCAGAGAGATCAGTGTCGAGTAAGTCTGCAGATGCATTAGAAAACAAGGGGAATAAATACACGGGTACCTCATGTTCTTGATAAGCGAAAACGTGAAAAGAGCAGTCGGTGCCTGATAATGAACTAACCTGGGCTTTACACGGACATGAGTCTGGCCAAACGATGTCGCTTCTCTCAGTCAAAACGGCAACGAAACTGGAAAACTAGAAAAAAGAAAGAGATTAAGATGATGGAAAGAGAAGTACTTAGCCAAATCGTACTTTTTTCTAATACAAACGAACGCTTCTGTACCGTTTAGGATGCGACCAAATGCAGTAAGCCATTCGTCGTATGAAAATTTCCGGGGCATTTGGTATTCAACAAACGTGGTTTGTACCGTTAGAAGAACCGATTTCGGACGAATCGAGAGAACCGATCACTGTTCTACTGAGTGCATTTTATCAATACAAGTAACTTGCCCTCGTGGAAGATCAGTCAACTAGAGTCGGATCGATATGATACGGATAATAGGGAAAGGCTTGCTTCAGTTTTCGACATGATAATATTATCTTTGGAACGAAGTAGATGTAATTGGAATACATAGAAGGGGCTCCAAAGGCAATATACTGTTGAGAAAACCCAATGTATTTAAGGGAGCAATGCATCAGGCTCGTCGAACAAGCAACTGAACAGTTTCAGTCTCAGATTCCACAACCATTAATCATGCATCTCCGTGTGCCGGTTTCGGTTGCTGTCTTTTGGCTGCCCATTTGGATGAACATGAGGAGAAAAACACGGAAGGTTGAAAGTATTATCGAAGGGAAAATTTAAGATTTCTTTGCACTAATTTTGCAGGGAAATCGAGAATATGCAGGAACACCACTGTTTGCGACACCCAACGATATCGCTCAGTGTCTCTAACCATCGGTGACCATAATCTCAGGGTCCTCAGTCAGGAAGCCTAACAGGACCTATGTGGCCCAGATTCCTGGTTAGGGTTTTCATACCCTCATACCAAGTCTTAGATTGACCACCCTTGACTTTCATCCACTTGGTATCTGCTTCGGTGAACATCGCTCGCCCTGGCAACCTATCTGGTGACATGTGTAACACATATCCCAACCAACGTAATCTATGGAGGTTGACCACTTGCTCCAGTGGGCGACAGCGATGTCCGAACACCGACAGTCTATCTTTATCCTGTTTCCCTAATAGTCAAGTTTCTGCGCCATATAGCAGAACTGGCCGAACTGCCGCAGCATACACTCG